GCATATGCTCTCACTGAGTTATACTCCCAGCCCTCATGTTGTGAGTCAGGGTCTCACTAAGTCACCCAGGCTGGCCTTGAACATGTGGTCCCCATCTCAGTCTCCCAAGTCACCGGGATTACTGGTGTTCACCACCACACCCAGCCAGGGAAGATTAATTTCAAAAATTTACAAACAATAATATAAATTCATTTTTACTTCATTTTTTTGTTATTTTGACTTTTATTTTTGCAGAGGTAGCCATGTGTATTTGGTGAAAAAAAGGCTTTCATTCATTTTTTTAATTAAATATTTATTTTTTAGTTGTAGCTGGACACAAAACCTTTATTTTGCTTATTTATTTTTATGTGGTGCTGAGGATCAAACCCAGGGCCTCGCAAATGCTAGGCGAGCGCTCTACCACTGAGCCACAACCCCAGCCCACTTTCACTCATTTTTGAAGAGTGCTTTTTTCTGCATGCCAGGTATGAGGCCTAACCAACAATACATGCAATTATTTACATTTGAATTGATTTAAATTAAAGAGGAAAATGCAGTTTTTTCAGTCACATTGACCTCGTTCCCAGTGCTCAGTGGCCATGGCTCACCTGCTTGAACAGTGCGGACTGCCGATCTCTGTCACCTCTCAGAGTCCTGTTGGACCCTACCGCACAAGGCCATCTTGTTTCTGCTGTGCTTTAAACCAGTCACTGTAACACTGTGGCAGCATTTCCCTTGGAATTCTTTCCATTTGTACTTCAGGTATCAGCCTCAGCATTAGTCTGGGGGTCCACTGTGACCTCCAAACCCTTTTTAACTGTGTTAAGGGGCCTGGTCTCCTCTTTCCCAGGTGATCCGCCAGCTGATGAAGAAGGAATTCACCCTGGAGTTCTCCCGGGACAGAAAGTCCATGTCTGTCTACTGCTCACCAGCCAAGTCTTCCCGGGCTGCTGTGGGCAACAAGATGTTTGTCAAGGTCAGAAATTGGAATGTATTCCCACTCCTCTTCTTCCTAATCCTGCCCCCTCTCCTGTGCCCATCCCCTCTCACTGGGTCCTGGTGGGCAGGCAGTGGTCTCTGAACGCTGTTCTGGTCTCCTAGGGTGCCCCTGAGGGCGTCATCGACCGCTGTAACTATGTGCGAGTTGGCACCACCCGGGTGCCGCTGACCGGCCCAGTGAAGGAGAAGATCATGTCGGTCATCAAGGAGTGGGGCACTGGCCGGGACACCCTGCGCTGCCTGGCCCTGGCCACCCGGGACACCCCTCCCAAGAAAGAGGAGATGATCCTAGATGATTCTTCCAGGTTCATGGAGTATGAGGTGAGTCGGGGGAGGCTCCATTGTCCTGGACGTCACCAAGAGGCTGATTTCCCACTGCCCGGCACCCTCTCATCTCAAACCAATGGCTCTGTACGGGTCCCAGAATCACAAGACACTCGTCTTCAGAAGAGCCCTAGCAATCATCCAGTCCAGCGCTGCTTTACTGTATTGACCTGTGGTGCTGGGGATGGAACCGGGGGCCTTACACATGCTAAGAACATACCGTGGCTGAGCTGCTCCCCAGCCTCCTGGGCTACATAAGTGTGACCAGTGGATGGTCTGCGACCAGGGGAGGGAGGCTCTCGCCCCATAAGGGAAATCAGTGTCACTGCACGGAGGGGCTCGCTCCTGTGCCTTCCATAACCAGGATGTCTCCAGGTGGGCATGGGCATTCTGGTGTAGGCCCCATATTGGTCGTGGACTCTGAATGGCACCAAAAGCCCACTGCCTTCGTTTCTCAGAGGGAGATTGTGGCCTGGCAGGTCACAGGGATGTGCTCGAAGTTGTGGGTCAAGGGGTGGCCCTGCGGATAGCAGAAGCCACCTGCTCTTACCTCTAGCATGTATTCTGTGAAGGGCACTGTGGCTGGCCTGGCACTGCGAGGACCTGCAGGGACATGTAGGACTGAGAAACGTTTCTTGCCCCTGCTGAGGTCCCACACCAGGGCCTCCTCAAATCTCCCCCCCTCCTGGCTCGTGTCCGAGTCCCTCCCTGACCGCCGTCCGCTCTTTCCCAGACGGACCTGACGTTCGTTGGGGTGGTGGGCATGTTGGACCCGCCCCGCAAGGAGGTCACAGGCTCCATCCAGCTGTGCCGCGACGCCGGCATCCGTGTGATCATGATCACTGGAGACAACAAGGGCACGGCCATTGCCATCTGCCGACGGATCGGCATCTTCTCGGAGAGCGAGCAGGTGACGGACCGTGCCTACACGGGGCGCGAGTTCGACGACCTGCCCCTGGCTGAGCAGCGGGAAGCCTGCCGTCGCGCCTGCTGCTTCGCCCGCGTGGAGCCCTCCCACAAGTCCAAGATCGTGGAGTACCTGCAGTCCTACGACGAGATCACAGCCATGGTGAGGGCCCGAGTGTCCCCGGAGTCCGGCGCATGGGCGGGAGGGCCCTGATGACAGGGACAGAGGAGAGGGCCCAGGCTCTGGGGGGAGAACCTCAAGGAGGGGTGTGGAAGGGGCCCTGAGCCCCCTCTTTCTTCCCTCAGACAGGGGACGGTGTCAATGACGCCCCTGCCCTGAAGAAGGCCGAGATCGGCATCGCCATGGGCTCTGGCACGGCGGTGGCCAAGACGGCCTCCGAGATGGTGCTGGCCGACGACAACTTCTCCACCATCGTGGCGGCCGTGGAGGAGGGCCGCGCCATCTACAACAACATGAAGCAGTTCATCCGCTACCTCATCTCCTCCAACGTGGGCGAGGTGGTCTGGTGAGCGCCAGGGCCCGGAGGGTGGGCGGGTGGCGGGGCCTGGACAGGTGTGTGACCACCTCCTTCTGGCAGCATCTTCCTGACGGCCGCCCTGGGGCTGCCTGAGGCCCTGATCCCCGTGCAGCTGCTGTGGGTGAACCTAGTGACCGACGGGCTCCCGGCCACGGCCCTGGGCTTCAACCCCCCAGACCTGGACATCATGGACCGGCCCCCCCGGAGCCCCAAGGAGCCCCTCATCAGCGGGTGGCTCTTCTTCCGCTACATGGCCATCGGGGGTAAGCAGGATGGGATCCCACCGCCCTTCCCAGCCCTAGGGACTGACCCCCTGCTCAGGACACCAGCTGCCCCAGCGCAGCCCCCCAGTCGCCCTCTCCCTCACCCAGCTGTCACCAGTCAGGAAGGCCCTCCCGCACTGGCCACCTCCTGGCCCTGACCCCTCCCCATCTTCCCACACAGGCTACGTGGGTGCAGCCACTGTGGGAGCAGCTGCCTGGTGGTTCCTGTATGCAGACGACGGGCCTCATGTCACCTACAACCAGCTGGTAAGAGGGGACAGAGAGCTGGGCCCTGGAGGGTGGTGTAGAGGCCTCCAGGGGACCTCAGGCTCCTGTCCCCTCCTCTGCAGACCCACTTCATGCAGTGCACGGAGCACAACCCTGACTTTGATGGCGTCGACTGTGAGGTCTTTGAGGCCCCTGAGCCCATGACCATGGCCTTGTCCGTGCTGGTCACCATCGAGATGTGCAACGCTCTCAACAGGTAGGGCCTCCTGCCCGCCCCAGTGCCGTGTGGGGCCAGCGCCTGGGCCTCCACCCCCTGCCCTCCTCTCCTCACGGTCTCTCTGTCCCCCTCTGTGGCTCCGCTCGGCCCTCGCTGCAGCCTGTCTGAGAATCAGTCCCTGCTGCGGATGCCGCCCTGGGTGAACATCTGGCTGCTGGGCTCCATCTGCCTGTCCATGTCCCTCCACTTCCTCATCCTCTACGTTGACCCTCTGCCGGTGAGCCCCCTTCTGCCACCTGTCCCCCAGCCCCGGGGAGCCCACACAGGGCCTGGGGCTACTTGCACTAGAGGTGCTGACCAGGGGAAGGTGGGACTGGCTGAGATGGTGCCCGGCCCCTGCTCCCTCTCCACCTCCTCCCAAGAGGACACTTGCTTTCCTCACGGCTGCCGTCCCCACCCCCAGATGATCTTCAAGCTGCGGGCCCTGGACCTCACCCAGTGGCTCATGGTCCTCAAGATCTCCCTTCCAGTCATCGGGCTGGACGAAATCCTCAAGTTCATTGCTCGGAACTACCTAGAGGGTAAGGAGCGCCCCTCCCCTGACCTCCGGAGCCCCAGGCCCTGAGGTCACCCCCTGCCCTCCGCGCGGCGAAGTGCGCCCGCCCCGCCCTCTTCCTTTGCAGGTGGTAAGTTCTCTGTGGCCCTGGTAGGACCAGTGTCCCCAGGCAGGGGCGCCCAGGCCCCTTCTCTGCTCCAGCCGCTCCAGGCAGGGTCACTCTCCTGGGCGGCCCCCAGCCTGCTCAGCCCTCTGGGCCCGCAGGCCACCTCCCTCCTTGACACCAGCTCTCTCTGTCCTCTTGGCCATAGGATAACCGTCCCCCTCCTCCATGTCTTTGAACCCGTGTCACAGGTATCACCCTCCCTCCCTGCCCTCGCGCCAGCTGCTGTGCCCCGCCGCCTGCCCCTAGCCGCCCGCGCATCCCAGGTCACTTGCGCTCGCAGCTCCACCTGGAGCCACTGCCACTGCTGCCCCTGCCGCGCTTCCACACGGCTGGTCTCTGCCCTCGCGGTGGCACCAGCACCGCTGCCAGGGCCCGGGCACCCTGGCGGTGCCCAGCCTCCGGGCACCACTGTCCGCTGGGCTGCGCTGCGTGGCGCTGGCTGCCTCTGCTGCTGGGGCTGCAGGTGGGAGGGTCGGGAGCTGGGGACACAGGTAAGTGCAGGGAGGAAAGTGGCCGCGGTGACCTCCAGGCTGTGCGCCAGCAGACAAGCACTGGGAGGGACCCCTCTCCCCACCCCACCTGCTCCATCCCTCCCCTTCTCCTTCCAGATCCAGAAGATGAGAGAAGGAAGTGACCGTCCGCTGCCCCTTCCTCCCTGATAGCGACGCATCTTCACCAGGGCTGTGGCACCAACTCCTCCCGCCCCGATATGTTTCTGTTTATAAACACGTTTCCCCCCCTCCCCCGCAACCTGTCCTCCCTCCCCACCCTGGACATCCTCCCCTCCCAACCCCGTGGGGCTTGCAGGGACAAGGCGACCGACTGAGCTGAGCTGCTTATTTATTGAAAATAAATGACAGAAAATTCTGGCCTCGCCTCCGTGCACGTCTAGAGGCCTGCGTCAGGCCCCAGGGACAAGCGTCTTAGTGTCATGCGTCCAGAAAGCAGCTGCCTGTCACAGGGTGTGCATGAGGGACCCACTGATGCTGACAGAGGCTGCCAGCCACCACACAGCTCGGCTGTGCCTCGGGATGGACGGGGACGACTGTGCCAGCGTGGCTGTTGGCCAGCGGGGGCGCTGGAGGCAGCACGGCAGGGCAGCCAGAGAGCCGCAGGGTTCAGCCTGCCCTTTGGTTCCAGGAGGGGGCGGTGTCATCCCTGAGAGCAGAAGGCCCAGCCTCTCCGGGAGGAGGCGCTGGGCCACCAATCCCAAGCTTGGAGAGGGTGAGAGCTGCGTCCTGACACCCCAAGCCCAGGCCTCAGGGTCTGGACTGGAGGAAGGCAGTCTTCCCTGGGGGGGTGGAAGCGGGGATCGATGGGTTCTCGCCGGGCCCCTCAGGTGTCCTTGATGTCCCTCACATCCTTGAGGGACCCCTCATCCAGGATGCAGCGCACCTGCTCCAGAGTCCCAGCCTGGCGGATCCGCTCTAGGCGCACCTGGGGAATCAGGCAAGGGACACAGAAGTCCCTGGTAGGGAAACTCAGCTCCTATCCCACCTGCCAACCCGCAGTGGCAGGGCCCAGGACCAGTGCACCTAGGGGCACCCCGTCCCCCCAAGCCCCTGCTGCCACCAGGGGAAAGGGAAAGAACGGGTCCTAGGACAGCTCGAGGAAGCTCAATCTGCCACAGACCCTCGGTGCCACCAAGCCTGTGCTAAGGGCATCCTGTGACTGACACAAGATGTACCCAAAGAGCTTCAGCTTTGGGGGCAATAATTCAGGGCTACGTACCATGCCAGCCCTGGGAGGAGGACAGGGACTCCCCCAACTGAGGGACTGTCCTCACAAGACACAGGGCAAGTCACTGAAAACCACACCAGTATTGGGGGGGGTGACATACCTGCAGGGCCTGGGACAGTCGCACGAAGTCCCTCTGCACCTGTTCGCTGGTCTCCAGCTCAGCCTGCAGCCGCAGCACCTTGGCCCTCTGCTCTGAGAGGAGGTCTGTGAGCTGGGCCTGTGGGGACAAGACACCGAGTTAGGGCCTGGCTCAGCCTTGGGCCAGCCAAGAGGGGGTGTGGTCAAGTACTGAGATGACCCCACACAGTCACCCCTTCCACACCAGCTGACTCTGACCTCTTCTGTCCGGCCAGAGCCTGGCTGTTGCAGGAGGCCTTCCTGGCGCTGGGCCTGAAGGAGACAGAGGACAGGAGGGGCCTGCTAGGTCTTCTCTGCACAGTGCCGTCCCTCACACCCTGGTCTGCTCCCTGGGCTCTGCCTCACCTGGCTCTGTTCCTGCTGGATCCGGTCCATCTCTGTCCTCAGGCTACACAGGGAGGCTGGGAAGTCAGGTGCAAGGAGGCTACAAGTCAGGCCCCCACTGGTTCCTTCCCCACCGGCCAGCCCAGGCCAGGGCGCCTCCCATACTCACCCTCTAACACCTCTGTGGGGGTGGGGGGGAGGGAGAGAAAGAGAGAGAGAGAGAGAGAGAGAGAGATATGTTGGTGGAGGCTTGTCCTCCCATGTCTCCCCTCCTCTGCCCAGGTGGCCCTGCGCAGGTCAGGCGCCTGGCGGCAGGGGAGCTGGCTGGGCCCTCACCTGTCTCCTCCCGCTGCACCCGCAGCTGCCCCTCCAGGCTGGCCCTGGCCG